ATTACAAATTATTTAAGATGAACCATGTCCAAAAATTGTAAATCAGGATTAATATAATATCAACTGAAATTACTACAGAAGAAAAGATTTAACTGAAATATTAATAAGACTATGCAAGCCTAAAAAGTAGAACAATTCAATTAATATAACTTTTATTTGTTATTTTTTGACAAATGGGCTCACACACTGGAAAACACTAACGTTTCTCTATTAGAGAATGTGAATAACAGTTTAACCCAAAATGTTTTAATTGTGATTTTGTTAAAATTCAATCATCTATCTATAGTAAGAAATTATTAAGAAAGTAAGAAATTGTGTTATTTCATAAACTGTAAGACAAGGAGACATTTGTCTTTTAACGCAAGCGGTCAGGATCCAAGCCCATGTTCGGACGGTTGTGTTTCTCTTGTAATCATCAAATGTCTTTGTTTTGTCCGTCAGTTCTTTCTCCAGTTGTACCATGGATATTTTATACCATCAATACTTTTCATGCTCTTTTGCATTTTCCTTCAAATACGGAAAAGAACTCAAGGCGTTCTTGTCTCTGTGCTACACAGTACAGGACACGCAGTGAGGAAATCGCACAGCTTTCAGATCAGTGCGGAATCCAGAGGGAGGACTCGCTCGGTGAATGATCTCTCAGGAAATCCCGGGTGAGATTCAACATCCCGGGTGAGGTTTTTCTGCAACAGCCATGATAAGTGTGAAGACGTTCTCTGAATTTCCTGAATGTGACATTAAATTAGTTCACATTCTTTGGTAGTTAACAGAACTAAATGCTTTGGAGGTACATTTAAAACTGCAGAGAACACTGTAGCACTTCGAGTTTAATTGTGTAAACCTGGCTCTGTATGAACACGAGCAAAGAGTTCTCACTCAACAGAAGAGTGCGATGTGAGCACAGTAACATAAAGCACTTGGAGATGCCAGGGATTGAACCTGGGACCGCATACATGCAGAGCATGCACTCTACCACTGAGCTACACCCCTGACATAAGAGGCTGTGGAAGTGACTTAGAGATGTGCAGGTGCTCACAGAACACAATCCATCTTTTGTATCTTTTAAGTGCTCTTGATTAAACTATGCA